GATCTTTCAATGACGGTGCATGATCAAACGGTCAAATTTAACGTTTTTAGCGCTAATAAAAATCCATGTGATGATAATGATTGTTATGCTATAGATCTTGTGGATTTTACAAATCATGACGATTTTGACGCTTTGATCTTAGACCATGGGAAAGGATCTTTGAGTGCAGGAGATGGTGGCGGAAAAGATAGTCGGACGAAGCAAGTTTTTTGTGCGAGCTCGATTTCAAATCCGCCGAGAGACAGTCAAAAGAGTTGGGGTGCTAACGGTGATGAACGTGCAAGGAGGATGTGGCCACCTAAAAATTCAAACGAGCATTATCATGGAGGGGAATGCAATCGCCAAGTGACTTCGGTCACGTTAGCTTGAACAACGAAGCAGACAAAGTCCGGCTGAAGACTGTAAACTTAGCGCTTCTCGGGAGGCAACCCGAGCTTTCTTTTTTTATTTTATGTTATTTTAAATTTTTAGTTTGGCTTTTATTTTATTTTATTTTTCAAAAAAAAAAAAAAAAAAAAAAAAAAAAAAAAAAAAAAAAAAGTTTTGGGGGCACTAATAGGAAGTTTTTATTTTGCAGGGACCTAATTGCAATTATTCACACGACCGTGCAAGAAAAGGGCAGGAATCTCACACGGCCGTGTGAGATTTCGGGGAAGCTACTGCCCAAAATTGGAAAATGGCACGGCCGTGCGGATTTTACACCTAAATTTCGCACGGCCGTGCGAAATTTGAAGAGGCTACTGCCCTATTATGAGAAATGGCACGGCCGTGCGGATTTTTCACCTAAATTTCGCACGGCCGTGCGAATCAAAAAAAAAAAAAAAAAAAAAAAAATTTCCATAATTCCCAAATCCCCTCTCTCCCCCAATTCGAACCCTCGCCTTCCTTTTTCGCAATTTTCCCTTTTCTTTGACAAATTTAACCGAAAATTTACCAAATACACACATATACTACGTAATCAAGGTGGTTTGTTGTTGATTTGCGCAGGGAGATTCAAGAACGGTGCAATTTTCTCGAAAAAAAAAACCCATTCCACCAAGAACGCCCACAAGGTGTTCGACGATTTTCCCGCACCGATTCTTGAGCCGGTACCCGAGCTATTGGAGGATAACGAGGAGGATGATGCTCATGCACATGGTGGAGTTGGTGAGCAACCCAACGATGATCCCGACGATTAAACAGGTGTTTTCTATCCTTAAACTCCGGGCGAATCACATTGAGGGCAATGTGAATTTTAAGTTTGGGGGTGGTTGATTACTTGTTTTCATTTATGTGCGCTTTATCTGTGTTTTTTTTATTTATTTTGCATGCTTTAGTTTTTGTTTTAATTGCCGTTTTATTATTTTCGTTTTTCTAAAAAAAAAAAAAAAAATAATAAAATAAAATAAAATAAAATATTTTTCGATGCATCGATGAACTATGATGATGGTAGATGGTCAATGTTTGATGATGAGACTACTTGTTTTATGTTGATAAGGAGTATGTATTTGTTTAGCTTTCGATTCAACGGAACGTAGAAGTGAATTATTGCTAGGAATCACACCTTGTGCTTTGCTTTGGTTGAATGTTTTGCATTTTAAATTTGGAATTTATTTGTGCTCAATCATGCTTTGTTCGGTTTTAAATCTCACCTTAGGACATTTACGATACGAAGTGTTGGTAGTAAGTAATTTGGGATATGATTTGGGCCTTCTTTGAACCGTTTGAGCCTTTCAAGCCTACCATTTTTGTCAAATTATCCTTAGAACCTTGATTTGAGCCTCGGAGAAAAGGTGTTCTTTCTTTTAGCCAATATGTAGAAGGTAGAAAAAGTGGAGATTTTTGAATAATTATCCCTTGGAGGTCGATCGAAAATTCTTATAAAATCTTTCTTCTTCTTCGAAAAAAAAAAAACAAAAAAAGAAAAAAAAAACTATGGATATATATATGTGCATCTTTATATATATATCTAAATTCTTCGATTCAAAAAAAAAAAAAAAAAAAAAAAAAAAGAGAAAAAGAAGAAGAAGAACAGATTAGAAGGGAGAAATAAGGACTAGTGTTGAAGTGTGTTGAAAACTCGATCCATTGACTCAAAAGCAAAAGTGTTGACGTGTGAATTTTGGACAACCGAGTTTATTTTAGTCCCTAGAGGTGAATTCATTGTTTCAACGCCTATCTTTCAATTTTTGGCGTAATCACCTCAATTCAAGAAAATTAGCCACACATTCCCATATTACCTACATCGGACCAAAGAGCCTAACAATTGAAAGCCACAAAGCCCCAATGATCCCAATAGCTCATTGTTCAATATTAGTTGAGTAAAATAATTTGGTGAGTATTTGGAGTCAAATATATGCATGTAAGTATAAATTCTTTCTATCTTTAACTTGCAAATATTGGATACTTGAAGCAATTGTATGACTTGTGGTTTTTGGTAATAGTGAGTGACTACGTGCCGTTGAATGTTAAGCTTGCGAATACCTATGAATTGTCATCATAATTGCAAGTTCTGAAAACGCGAAGTTGACCCATCGATCTATGTAATGAGATGTATGGTTTTGTTTTGTGCTATTAATTTGATTTTACTTGAGGACAAGCAAAAGTTCAAGTTTGGGGGTGTGTTAAGTGTATATTTATACACTTAATTCTATCTTTTAATTGGAGCTTTTGATGTGTTTTTACGATAATTGGTGCTTAATTTGGTTATTATTTGTATTTTAGGTGCAAATTGAAGAATTGGCAACTTTTGGGGTGAAAACTGCAATTTCGGAGAAAAAGTGGGCCAAAAGTGAAAAAAGCAGAATTCTGGAGAATTAAAAGACCGCACGGCCGTGCGGATTTTAGTTCAAAATCTCACACGGCCGTCCGGATGGTCGTAGGGGCGCAGTGAAGGAATTTTAATTACACAAGGAAACCCGCCCTATTATATTTTTGCACCCTATTTAAAGGCCACAAGCACACAATTAGATGAATCTTTTTATCTTTTATCTTTTTCTTTAATTTTTATTTTTCATCTTTTCTACACGCAATCGAGGAGCAAGAGAACGAAGACGAAGACTTGACGAATCTTCATCCTAGTTTCCCTTTTTCCTTTTCTTTTCTGATTTTTATGAATTTCCGTATTTTTATTATGCTTTCCGTTACGAACATGAGTAGCTAAGTTTTTATTCTAGGATTTTATTGGAACCCTATGTGGTGATTCGAACCTCTTATTCGACTTTTATGCAAGTTTAATTTTTCGATTATTTCTTCTATCTTGATCTTATTTAGTGCATGAGCGTAGCTAACTTATGTTGCTATTTGTTATTGTTAGAATTGATTGACAGATCGTTTTAATAATTAGAACAGGGATAGAAGAGCCTTCGAGTAGTTTTTCACCGAATGCGTGTGTTGATTGCATGTATTATCGTAGACATACAGATAATACCTTAGGTAGCCGTTTGCAAGACTTGTTATTTAATGCTTTATTTATATTAGGTTTGCATAGACATATAGTGAATCTTTTATGAATAATAGGTTTATAGCGCAGCGACAGCTGGTTATGAATAATTTCGTGTCTTGGGTTAATGATCGGGAATCGTAACTTGCATAATAGGAGATTAGTTGGGTGAAGAATTATCGCATAGGGGGAAGATAAAATCCTAGATCCGTTTATTATTGACTTTTTCTCGTGATTACTTGTTTTCTTAATTATTTTAATTTTATTAGTTAATTAATTTGACAACCTTGCGTAGGCTGGATAAAAATCACAATTGTTAGGATTTGGTACTTAGGATTAAATAATTTGCGTATTCCCTGTGGGATCGACATCCGACTCTCACGAGTCTACTTTACTACTTGTTTGCGATACGTACACTTGCGTGTTTGTATTTAGCACCCAACACCGGCGAGAGATGCAAAGCAGTGTAGGTGAGGGGAGTAAATCTGCTGGGCGAGAGAGTGAGGCAGCGAGAAGCCTCTTGCACGTGGGCTACCCGCGATCTGCGGCCTGGTCCCTCTCGCCCAACCGGTGCCAGTCTGATGGGCTTTTTCTGCTAATGGGCTTGAATGGTGCCTTTTGATCTTGTTTCGGCCTTTCGTCTTTATTGGATCTATCAAGCAATCCCGGGCTGGATCACCCCATTGAAGCCAACAATTTTGAGATTCGAGCGGGACTCCTCACGATGCTCCAAAACAATGGGTTATTCAGCGGATTGGCTCATGAAGACCCACATCTCCACTTGGTCAATTTTCTCGAAACGTGTGACTCGCACAAGATGAACGGAGTAGCACCCGAAGCACTGCAACTCCGCCTGTTCAAGCACTCCCTACAAGGAGCAGCCCGAGAATGGTTGCAAACTCGTGCACCACACTCCATCTCGTCTTGGGCCCAGCTAGCACAACTCTTCATGAACACATACAACTCCCCAACAAAAACTGAGAGAATCCGGCGAGAAATTCAAAACTTCATACAAGAAGCCGGTGAAGCTTTATTCGAGACGTGGGAGCGGTTCAAACAGTTAGTAAGGAGATGCCCGAATCACGGACTGCAAGAGTGGCGCCAACTGCAAATATTTTACGATGGCCTGCAAGACAACTCGAGGACCGTGCTCGACTCTGCAGCTGGAGGTATGTTCATGAGTTTGACCTATGACGAAGCATACGAACTCTTGGAGCGAATTGCTAGATATAAATACATGCGGGCATCGGACCGGTCGAATAACGGAGCAGTCAAGACGGGAGGAATTTCGGAGTTAGACGGAGTCACTGCAATCACGGCCCAATTAGAAAAGCTATCAAAGCAAGTGGCGGCTTTGCAGACTCAGCAAGTCCACACAGTCCAAGTCCCCGACCAGCGCGTAGAAGAAACGGAGTCTCTGAATTATGTGCATGACACCAACCGACAACAGAGGAACCCGTACTCCAACACGTATAATCCGGGATGGAAGGATCACCCTAACTTTGGGTGGGGAGGAAATCAGCAAGGACCAAGGCAAGCACCACCTCAAGGTCAACCGCCTAATTATTCACGACCAGCTCCCGGATTCCAAAATCCGCCTCAAGCCCAACCTCAAGGTGGAGATCTCGCAAATATCTTGGCGCAGTTCATGACGACCACCCAAGCCTCCATCCGAAATTTGGAAACACAAATGGGTCAACTTGCAACCCAGCTAACCGCGAGACCATCGGGAGCACTGCCATCAAACACGGAAGATCCGCGGAAGAACAACGTCGAGCAATGCAACGCTGTAAGTTTAAGGAACGGGAGACAATTGGAGGAAGCCCCACGAAAGGAGAAGCAAAACACGGTAATCGAGGAGCCAAATGTGATTGGGGAAAAAGAAGCAACTCGCAAGGAACCGCCATCTCCCACAGTGAACTCGCGAGTCCCTCAAGTCCCATATCCTCAAAAACTTAAAAAGAAGAAGCTCGATACCGAACACCAAGGATTCTTGGACAAGCTGAAGGAAATCCACATCAACATTCCGTTTATCGAAGCCATTCAAAAGATGCCAAAGTGGGTGAAATTCCTCAAGGAGCTCGTAACGAAGAGGAATAAATTGCAAGGGAACGAGATCATCCAACTCACGGAGCAATGCAGTGAAATTCTTGTACGGCCCCTTCCACAAAAACTCGGCGACCCAGGTAAGTTCACTATCCCTTGCACTATTGGAGGTAAAAATTTTAGGTCACTCATTGATTTAGGTGCTAGCATTAATCTTATGCCTTATTCCATTTACAAAAATCTGGGGTTAGGTGAGATTGAACCAACGGCTATAACTCTTCAATTAGCCGATAGGTCTTTAGTTTACCCAAAAGGTATTTTAGAGAATGTGCTAGTAAAAGTGAACAAATTTATCTTCCTTGTTGATTTCGTTATACTTGATATAGATGAAGATAGGGAGATACCTCTTATTTTTGGTAGACCGTTTTTAGCCACGTCGAAAACTTTAATTGATTGTGCTAGTGGTGATCTTACAATGACGGTGCATGATCAAACGGTCACATTTAACGTTTTTAGCGCTAATAAAAATCCATGTGATAATAATGATTGTTATGCTATTGATCTTGTGGATTTTACAAATCATGACGATTTTGACGTTTTGATCTTAGACCATGGGAAAGGATCTTTGAGTGCAGGAGATGGTGGCGGAAAAAATAGTCGGACGGAGCAAGTTTATTGTGCGAGCTCAATTTCAACTCCGCCGAGAGACACTCAAAAGAGTTGGGGGGGTGATAACAATGATGAACGTGCAAGGTGGATGTGGCCACCTAAAGAACCAAACGAGCATTATTGGGGAGAGGAATTCAATCGCCAAGTGACTTCGGTCACGTTAGCTTGAACAAAGAAGCAGACAAAGTCCGGCTGAAGACTGCAAACTTAGCGCTTCTCGGGAGGCAACCCGAGCTTTCGTTTTTCTTATTTTATGTTATTTTAGATTTTTAGTTTTGTTTTTATTTTATTTTTCTAAAAAAAAAAAAAAAAAAAAAAAAAGTTTCAGGGGCACTAATAAGAAGTTTGTATTTTGCAGGGGCCTAATTGCAATTATTCACACGGCCGTGCAAGAAAAAAGGCGTAAATCTCACACGGCCGTGTGAGATGTCGGTAATGCTACTGCCTAAAATCGTGAAATGGCACGGCCGTGCGAAAAAGAACTGGAATTTCGCATGGCCGTCCGAGAAACAGAAGAGCTACTGCCCAAAACCAGGAATTGACGCGGCCGTGCGGATTTCAGGCCTAAATCCCGCACGGCCGTCCGAAAAAAAAAAAAAAAAAAAAAAAAAACGGGGCAGATTAAAAGGGTTTTCCAACCCACAATTCTCACAATTCTAATGCTCATGCGCAAGGTGGAGTTGGTGAGCAACCCGACGATGGTCCCGACGCTTAAAAACAGGTGTTTTCTATCCTTAAACTCCGGGCAAATCACATTGAGGGCAATGTGAATTTTAAATTTGGGGGTGGTTAACTAATTGTTTTATTTTATGTGCGCTTTAGTTGTGTCTTAATTTTTAATTTTTTTTTTGTTTGCATACTTTAGTTTTGTTTTATTATTTCCGTTTTATGTGCATCGATGAATTATGATGATGGGAGATGGTCAATGTTTGATGATGAGATTACTTGTTTTATGTTGATAAGGAGTAGATATTTGTTTAGCTTTCGATTCAACGGAACGTAGAAGTGAATTATTGCTAGGAATCACACCTTGTGCATTGCTTTGGTTGAATGTTTTGCATTTTAAATTTGGAATTTATTTGTGCTCAATCATGCTTTGTTCGGTTTTAAATCTCACCTTAGGACATTTATGATACGAAGTGTTGGGTAGTAAGTGATTTGGGATATGATTTGGGCCTTCTTTGAACCGTTTGAGCCTTTCAAGCCTACCCTTTTTGTCAAATTATCCTTAGAACCTTGATTTGAGCCTCGGAGAAAAGGTGTTCTTTCTTTTAGCCAATACGTAGAAGGTAGAAAAGTGGAGATTTTTGAACAATTATCCCTTGGAGGTAGGTCGAAAAATTCTTATAAGATCTTTCTTCTTCTTCGATAAAAAAAAAAAAAATAGATATATATGTGCATCTTCATATATATATATCTAAATTCTTCGATTCCAAAAAAAAAAAAAAAAAAAAAAAAAAAAAAAAAAAAGAAGAAGAAGAATAGATTAGAAGGGAGAAATAAGGACTAGTTGTTGAATTGTGTTGAAAACTCGATCCATTGCCTCAAAGGCAAAAGTGTTGACGTGTGAATTTTGGAGAATCGAGTTTATTTAAGTCCCTAGAGGTGAATTCATTGTTTCAAACGCCTATCTTTCAAATTTTGGCGTAATCACCTCAATTCAAGAAAATTAGCCACACATACCCATATTACCTACCTCGGACCAAAGAGCCTAACAATTGAAAGCCACAAAGCCCCAATGATCCCAATAGCTTATTGTTCAATATTAGTTGACTAAAATAATTTGGTGAGTATTTGGAGTCAAATATATGCATGTAAGTATAAATTCTTTCTATCTTTAACTTGCAAATATTGGATACTTGAAGCAATTGTATGATTTGTGGTTTTTTGTAATGGTGAGTGACTAAGTACCGTTGAATGTTAAGCTTGCGTATACCTAGGATTATCATTAAACAGGGGATCGTCTAGAGTGACCTGCAGCAATGCAGCTGCACTTTCTCTGGGAAACCATCTTGGGACCAATCCCCCTTCTTTTT